GGGGTTCTCGCTTCATGCTCCACCTCCATCGGCATTGTTTCTTCCATGATTGAGATGTTGAGTAATACGACGCCTATGTATATTAACATAATATACCAAAGGAGATAGAAGATGCCTGTCCCGATGGCAGACTCAACAAAGTTGAATAGTTTAGAAGAGACGATGAGGCCAAATGCATAGCCCAACAACAGACCCGTTTGCACCTTCAGGAGCATGGGCCAGTTGCGGTAGATGCCGTCAACCGCCGAGCAGGCCTGATCAAGGACTGACACAAACAATGTGACCAACTGGACAAACAGTTCACTAAGCTTTTCGAAAATATTCATGTGTATTACGAGAGAGAGAAAGAGGATATAGGAAATGAAAGAAGATGTTTTTTTTTTTTTGTAAGCTGACTTTAAATGAAAGAAGATGTTGCTAGTTATTTATACCGAGGTTTGCATGCACTTTTAGTTTGTTAGTTAGCACGTCTAACTCTTGGATCAAATTCCATCTCCACTTTTAGTTTGTTAGTTAGCACGTCTAACTCTTGGATCAAATTCCATGACCTAACGTTTTGTGTGTTTATATGAATTTGTTGTGTTACAATAATAGGAACGAGTTAGCGAGTGCTTATAGATAATTATTAATATAACAATAAATCATATAATAGTAGAAATAGAAATATCATAATATTTTATAATTTTCGAAATATTATTTAATTAAATTTTAATAATCACATAATTTTTATTACTTAAACATTTATTTAAAATGTTATGCATTTTTTTTTTAAAATTATAATTTTCTGGCTCAATACCATTTATTTCTTTTGAATATCGCCAAATTATTTTTTGAAAAATATAATTTAGCTAATAATTATACACTTAAAAAATTCTCTTAATTTTATAAAATTATATTTAATAATATTAACCAAAAGTAATAGATAAAAAAAATTCCAGAATAATAATTTAAATATACTTATCTTATTGCTTACATGTAATTAAATTATAATTAGAAAAATATTGTAAGCAAATAATAAAATCCAAAAATATACAAATATTATTTTAAATATAATGTAACTTTAAAACTTTTATTTCTGCCAAATTATTTTTTGCAAACACCTAGTTGTATATATGTGTATATTGCAAATACATCAATATATATGAAAGCGAGGTAGAAAAAAAACAAAAGAGGTTGAAGATCTCTGAAGTTGTTTAAGAGGTTTGGGCAGAGATTTGAATCCCATCCTTACTCCTTTTTGGCCAAGGAGAGGTTTTGTACATTGTATTACGACTAAGCTATTTGATTTTAGCAAAGCTCAAACTACGGTCGACTAAATATCGATAAAATTATATTTAATAATATTAACCAAAAGTAATAGATAAAAAAAATTCCAGAATAATAATTTAAATATACTTATCTTATTGCTTACATGTAATTAAATTATAATTAGAAAAATATTGTAAGCAAATAATAAAATCCAAAAATATACAGATATTATTTTAAATATAATGTAAATTTAAAACTTTTATTTCTGCCAAATTATTTTTTGAAAACACCTAGTTGTATATATGTGTATATTGCAAATACATCAATATATATGGAAGGCGAGGTAGAAAAAAAACAAAAGAGGTTGAAGATCTCTGAAGTTGTTTAAGAGGTTTGGGCAGAGATTTGAATCCCATTCTTACTCCTTTTTGGCCAAGGAGAGGTTTTGTAGATTGTATTACGACTAAGCTATTTGATTTTAGCAAAGCTCAAACTACGGTCGACTAAATATCGACACTAATATCATCTTTTCGAGAGGAAACAAACTTGCACTGGTTATATAGCAAATCCCACGATTATTTAGGCTCAGTGACATGAAAAAAGACAGTTAGGTTTAAACATAACCAAAACACAACGAAAAAGGATTTTAGAACTCAATCGCCCAAGAAAAAAAAATGCAACTTTATTATATAAGATTTTATAAATATAACAAAACTTATTCATGAATGTATTAATTTTTGATATTATACATATATGTATTGAATTTATAAATGAGTGTATCAATTAATTATGTATTCAAATTCATTTAGTTTTAGATATTTATTACATTTAACATGAATCCAACTACATTTATTCCAGTTGGTAATAATCAAACAAATTAAGAAAACAAAACACATGATGACTAGTTAATAAATGAATTAAGCACCAAATTTGTAAATGAACTAAGATCAAAATGGAAACATAAATTAACAGAAATTGAGTATGAATTCAGCCTCCTTAAAGTAGTATAAGATTCATTTAATCAAACAAAAAAACAAAAACAAAACACATAACTAGTTATTAAGTGAAGCACCAAATTTGTATATGAACTAAGATCAAATTGATAGTCAAATGTGTTGATTTTAAGAATAATATAAAAAATTGATATTTTAGCTTTTGTTTTTGTATTTGGAAGACTGATGTTTTGGATTTTAATTAATGCATGTTGTTTCAAAACTAAAAAATAAATATAAAAACATGAGTGGTAAATTCTATTGTAAAACAAACCAAACTTTTTTAAAAAAAAAATCAATAGATAAAAGTGTGTATTGAGTTTTTATTAATATGTGAAAATTCTAATATATTATTTTTTCAATACAGAGGGAAGTACCTCGTTTTACAAAATGTGATACATTACTTTAAGATATTTTCGTTGTAAATTTTATTGATTTCAAGAATAAAGATTGATTCTCAGTTGGTTGGTTTAGATTTTGACTTCTACTCATAATTTAATCTCCTGTAAATTTATCTGTAGCTTCTTGAAATTAAAGGAAAACAACTTAAAAGACACTTTCACTATTTTCAAAATTTGTCCTCTTATCCCAATTTCTTTTTAAATATATATTCAGATGATAAATTCAGTACTTCAATAAGTGGTACCCAATTTGTCACATAAAATTTTAGTAGTACGAAGCTACTCTGCAAGGAGGAAGTACCATCAGTTGTGATCTAATATCAGTGAATATTGAATTATTTTTAGTATATTTTTTTTATGAAATATTATCATTTCATTTATGCATTACCAATGTAAACTACGATATTTCAGAAAGAGCTGTATCTATAAATACAATGTGTACACTAGGCAATATGCATTATGGATTGCAGCTGTGCATTCTATTTTTATCTGACTTAGTGTGGTGTAATTAATTAATTCTAGCACAGACCCAAATAATCAATTATAAAGTAGTACTAAACTATTTAATTTAAGTAAATCTTTCCTAACACCACTATTAATCAAGATATGATGGTTCATTTTTTTCTTAAAGAGACATGTCAATATTTAAATATGACATATAATAACATATCAATTTCATAATAATTACAATTTGATTTTCTTTTATTTAAATAAATATTATTCACATAATTAGTAAGTTTCACTTTATCTTTTTGGAATTTTTTATCTCTGTGAAAATTCAGTGATTAAAGAACAAAAATAGATGACTCTTTGTTGAAAAGTGATGCTTGGTGATTAAAGTAACAGTTCACTTTTTTGCTCACAACAAGTTTTAACAAAATGGAAACATAAATTAACAGTAATTATGAATTCAGTCTCCTCAAAGTAGTATAAGATTCATTTAATCAAACAAAAACAAACAATACACATAACTAGTTTTTAAGTGAAGCATCAAATTTGTAAATGAATCAACGACTAAGATCACAATGGAAACATGAATAAAAGAAATTGAGTATGAATTCAGTTTCACTAAAAGCAGTATAAGATTCATTTAATCAAACACATAACTAGTTAACTGAAAATTTAATATGTTGTTTTAGTACACGTTAGAATATTAATATGTTGGTGGAATCCGTTGAATTGTGTTTACTAGCTAGCAGTAGAGGTTTTATTCCATTACATTTAATATAACAGCAACATAAAATGATTCCACCAACACATCAAAGATTACAAAATTTGAAGAAAAAAGTAATTATTTCTATTTACCTCTGAAAATTTATCAATCAGGCAAAAAATATTTTCCTCTTCTAGATAGTAGATGCTGTTAAAAAAAGGTAAAATACACAAACAAATTTGTAGTAATTCAAACAAGAGTAAATATTTACTATACTCCCTCTCTCTAGTTTTACTTTTTCTCATTTTCTTCTTTTCCTCTCATTTACTCCAAATTTCCAAATCACATCATCTATGTACGTGAAGAATTAATACAGGTTATAAAGCTTGTTATGCATATGAAAAAATGATTCATTGGTGATAAATAATGTTCAGTTGACTATTATTTTTACCAAAGAATCAGGATTTGGGCAATAGCGAGCCCAGTGGACACTGCAATACATAATATCAATCTACGAGAAACATGTAAAGCACAAAGCCCAAATGATCGAAACGAAGCGGTTTGGAAAATGTCTATTGTATCCTGCTATTTGGGAAAACTTTACTGCTTATTGTTTCACTTCTCTAGAGATTATTATGTATATATATATATGTGATTCAATTGATTGTTGAAGAATCCTCTGTAGGCCAAGCTCGTTGTTAGTTTATTATATGTGGCGTTTGCTCTTGAGTCACAGTTTCTGCTCATTATACACGTTTGGTGTCTCTGGTTTGATCATTCAAGGCAAATTAAATTAAATTACACTCGTTGGTGTGGACAAGTTCGGTAACAAATACTAACAGACGCTGGGTGATACTCAATACGGTACGTGATTTTACTAATAACTTGATGTGTCGCTGCGTATTTAAAACCATGCTTATATCAATTACTGGTGCCATTATAGGATTCATGATGCCAAGTATCGCTCTTTGAATTATCTCTTTTATATAATTGATTTGAAATTGTGGAATTTGGTTTAACAATGGTACTTTTTATTTATCCAAGCAAGCAGCATCTGCTATTTGCTACTACCACACCATAGTCTGTTGAAAATGTAGTGGTGAAACTGTAAATTTATATATAAGTTTTGGCCAATATGCTTTTACATTGAAGCATCGAGTCAATTGCTAAGAGGTAGACACAAATGGGTGGAATACGCATCGAAAGATGGTTACAACGCATCTCAAGTACCAGCCGAATGGCACGGATGGCTTCATTTTTATCACTGATCACACTGGCGACGAGGTATTAAGTAAAGTCAACTCCAAATCCGCTATCTAGGGTAGTAAATAAGTTGCTTACTAACTTCAAAACAAACAATGTCTCTCTTTCTTTCTGTTTGAAGCTGTTGAGTCAAAAACCAGAGAGTTATGCGATTGGGCATAGAGAGAACTTCTCTGGAGAAGGTGATGCATACATTTACCATTCTAAAAGACATACCTTGAACCCGGGGCAAAAGATCTGGACTCGGTACCAACCATGGGTTCCCACCAAAACCAAGTAAAAATGTGAGAGCTCTGGTTTACGCTCTTTGAGAACCTCTCAGAGAGAGTGATTGTTGTTCTGTTTCTGTCTCTTTTGAATAAAAGGCAAGCTGTTTTCGATCTAAAGCTGAACAGTTGGGTTTATGGGAATTGTATAATTGATGTTCTGTTGTTCCACAGGAAAGCATTGCTCAACCTTGAAGAGGTATACAACTCTAAATTCACTATAGCTAGTTTTGTTACAACAGGTTGGTGGTGTAGTCAATTCATCAAATATCATTAGGGGAAAGAATAGAATATATATATATATATATATATATATGTATGTATATGTTTACTGTTCAGATGGCAGATAACTTGGCTACCAAGTGTACTTTATTATTATGCACCATCAATACTACAAATTCTCTTTTCATCTCTAATACTACAGGTTCTCTGTTCATTTCTAAGCAAGATAACTTTATTTCTTTGTACCACTAACATTACATGTTAGACTGCTGGCTTTTCTGCTGCAAGTCTGTGGGGATAACGCTGGGCTCACTGAAACTGGAGATCTTTTTGTTGCATGCAATGAATGTGCCTTCCATGTGTGTCGTCCTTGCTACGAGTACGAGAGGAAAGATGGAACTCAGTGTTGCCCTCGATGCAAGACTAGATACAGACGACTTAGGGGTCAGTAGTTGTCTTTACTCCTCTGTTTGGATATTTTCTTCTCTTTGTAGGGAGTCCTCGATCGTGTCGAAGGAGATGAAGATGAGGATGATGTTGATGATATTGAGAATGAGTTCAGTTACACACAGGGAGCTAACAACAAGGGAAGACGCCAACAACGTCATGGTGAAGAGTTCTCTTCCTCTTCTAGACATGAATCTCAACCAATTCCTCTTCTCACCCATGGGGCCATACTGTAAGGACCTACATCTAAAGTGATCTGGAAATGTCTAGATTACACTTCAATGCAAACTGTGAACCATCTTTAACAGCCAGTTAGTTCTTTAATAGATTCTTTACATTTTACTATACACAGGTTTCTGGGGAGATTCGCACGCCTGATACACAATCTGTGCGTACTACATCAGGTCCATTGACAGGAATGCCATTTCATCTCCATATATTGACCCACGCCAACCTGGTATTCACATTATTTTATTGCTTTGAGCACAAGGCATTTGTTAGATGTCATGTTTTTTTTTTTTTTTTTTGTGGATACTAACTGATAGATGATATTAGGAGTTTTCAAGGCTCCTAAGGCAAATGTTGTAGTATAGATGATTGTCGAACCAGTTCAAATGACTATGGTACAGATGACTGGTAAATACCATGAAGGGAAAGGAGGTGAAATTGAAGAACTTCAAATGTAAGTTCAAGAACTAGATCTTATTCAAATTTTGAGCGTTCAAATTATGGATCTCTTACTTAACAGGGCTGATGATACAAGGCTGCCTATGAGCCGTATTGTGCCTATCCCGCCTTCTCATCTCACACCTTACCGGGTTGTGATCATTCTCCGGCTTATCATCTTGGGATTCTTCTTGCAATTTATCGTACAACTCACCCTGTGGAAGATGCTTATCCATTGTGGTTGACCTCAGTTATTTGTGAGATCTGGTTTGCATTTTCTTTGGCTTCTTGATCAGTTTCCCAAATGGTGTCCTATTAACCGAGAGACGTATCTTGACCGTCTCGCTATAAGGTTGGTCTTTAGAGTCTATATATGCTTCCTACTCTTTTATCTTATTTTTGTGTGCTAATTTTGATACCTTCTTCCACAATGGTGCATGTCAATAAGAGTAAAGTTTCTGAGTCGATTATGATAAAACTTGTTTAATGTAGTGCTTCTTAATTGAGAATAGAGCTAATTAAGCTATTATACTGATTATAGTTAATGGTTTGTTATTGTAGATATGATCGAGACGGTACAGTTAACTCCTGTCGATGTGTTTGTTAGTACGGTGGACCCACTGAAAGAGCCTCCTCTTGTAACAGCAAACACAGTCCTCTCGATTCTTGCCGTGGACTACCCTGTCGACAAAGTAGCCTGTTATGTTTCAGATGATGGTGCAGCGATGCTTACGTTCGAATCTCTTTCTGAAACAAAGAAATGGGTGCCGTTTTGCAAGAAGTTTAGCATTGAGCCCAGGGCTCCTGAATTTTACTTTGCACAGAAGATAGATTACTTGAAGGACAAGATCCAGCCTTCTTTTGTTAAAGAGAGGCGAGCTCTCCATCTGCTTTCTCATCTATTAGTAAAACTAGAGATTGTCTCTTAAAAAACTTTGTTTGTTTGGCTTTGTAATGACAGAGAGAGTATGAAGAGTTTAAGGTGAGGATCAATGCACTTGTTGCTAAAGCACAGAAGATCCCTGAAGAGGGATGGACGATGCAGGATGAGGATGGTACTCCCTGGCCTGGTAACAACACTAGGGAATGATTCAGGTACCGTGATTCAATTCCTTAAATTATTATAACTTTTTATTTATGATGCATCGTTTTGTTTCAACTTTAGGCCACAGTGGAGGTTTAGATACTGATGGAAATGAGCTGCCTAGGCTCATCTATGTTTCTCGTGAGAAACGTCCGCTCCACAAGAAGGCTGGAGCTATGAATGCATTGGTTTGTTAACTTTCTTTCTTCATATTCTTTCGTCTAGGGACATTTGTTCTCTCCTGATTCAGTTTCTCTCTACGTTTACAGATCCGTGTTTCTGCTGTTCTGACGAATGGAGCTTATCTTTTGAACGTTGACTGTGATCATTACTTCAACAACAGCAAAGCTATTAAAGAAGCCATGTGTTTCCTGATGGACCCTGCTTATGGAAAGAAGTGCTGCTATGTCCAGTTCCCACAGCGTTTTGATGGTATTGACTTGCACGATCGATATGCCAACATGAACATTGTCTTAAAGATATTTATTACTTTGGGCAGATTAACTTGAAGGGGTTAGATGGAATCCAGGGTCCAGTATATTGGGGTGCTGGTTGTTGTTTCAATAGGCAAGCTCTATATGGGTATGATCCTGTTTTGACTGAGGAAGATCTGGAACCAAATATTATTGTGAAGAGCTGTTGCGGGTCAAGGAAAAAAAGGAAAGAAGAGCAAGAAGTATGACTATGATCAACAGAGGAGAGGCATCAACACAAGTGACATCGAGGAGGGCGTTGAAGGTTCTAATTAAGCTTATACTGTAATAACATCACTTCTTATTTGACGGTATAATCTTACAATTCTCATATGATGCAGGATATGATGATGAGAGGTCTATTCTGATGTCCCAGAAGCGTGTAGAGAAGCGTTTTGGTCAATCCCCAGTGTTTATTGCGGCTACCTTCATGGACCAGTCCAGCTACTCTTCTCAAGGAGGCTATTCATGTTATAAGCTGTGGTTACGAGGACAAGACTGAATGGGGAAAAGAGGTCAGTTTTCAGAGTGCAGCCACTGACTTTATGTTCTCTTTCTCACCTCTCTGATGACATCTTATTTGCTTGTTTTCTTTTTTTTTTGTTAGATTGGTTGGATCTACGGCTCGGTGACAGAAGATATTCTTACTGGGTTCAAGATGCATGCCCGGGGTTGGATGTCCATCTACTGTACTCCTCCAAGACCAGCGTTCAAGGGATCTGCAGACTGCACCAATCAATCTTTCTGATCGTTTGAACCAAGTTCTTCGATGGGCATTGGGATCCATTGAGATTCTCCTGAGTAGACATTGCCCTATCTGGTATGGCTATACAGGAAGGTTGAGACTCTTGGATAGACTCCCTTACATCAACACCATTGTCTACCCTATTACAGCTCTCCTTCTCATCGCTTACTGTATCCTTCCTGCTTTTTGCACAAGTTCATCATACCAGAGGTTCGTAAGACCAACCACACTCCTATATATACCTTTCATGTTCCATTTTGCCATCTCGTATTTAAGAAAGCTATAACAGCATTGTTGTGCAGATAAGCAACTACGCTAGTATTTGGTATTGAATCAAAGTTTATAACTCAAACTCTTGAACTCTTTATTAATAACTCAATGTCTTAGAAAATAACTCAAAACTAAGACTTCCACAACTCATAAGTTGTACTACATCATGGCACCTCCTTATATACTCACACACTTTCCTAAACTCATTAGGAAACACAAAATAGATATTTTCCTATTCTATAACTCAATAGAATTAGGTTGCTTGCTCCTCAAGCTAACTCAAGTTTACTTCAACATTCTCCCCCTTAAACTTGAAATCTCCATTTGAAATATCTTGAACTCCAATCAAATCTCTCATCTCCTTGAACTTGATTCTTCCAAGGGCCTTAGTTAATATATCAGCCTTTTGTTTTACTCCAGCCACATGCTCCACACGTACAAGACCCTTTTCTACGCATTCTCTGATGAAGTGAAACCTTGTATGAATATGTTTGCTACGTCCATGAAACACCGGATTCTTGGACAAAGCTATTGCAGATTTGTTGTCGATCCGTATGATTACTTTCTTGCTTGGATGGCCGAATATCTCACTAATAAGGCCCTGCAACCATATTGCTTGCTTGACAGTTTCTATTGCGGCCATAAACTCAGCTTCACATGATGATAAAGCAACTATCTCTTGCTTTTGAGAACACCACGTTATCGGATTATAACCAAGGTAGAAGATGTGTCCAGTAGTACTCTTACCATCGTCTGGATCAACATTGTAGCTACTATCACTGTACCCAACTAAACCTTCCTGCGACTTTGCTTCAAACTTCAATCCATACGATAGGGTTCCTTGTAGATACCTTAGAACCTGTTTCAAAGCAGCTTTATGCGACTCCTTAGGATTGTGCATATAACGGCTCAAAATACCCACACTACAAGCAAGGTCAGGTCTAGTGTGTATCAGATAGTGCAAGCATCCAATATATTTCCGGTAATCTCTCTCGTCCACACTAATCTCGTTATCAGCCTTCCCCAACTTCAAGCCTGCGTCCATAGGTATATGTGTGGCGTTACATCCTTTCATACCAGCTTCTTCGATAATCTTCATAGCATACT